GCCATTTGTTTATCTTCCTTAGAGAAATGCCTACTTAGCTCTTTTGCCCATTTTTTAATTGTAAAGACCCCACTTCTTAATATTTTCACCTTGGGGTTTAAGATTTCAACATCTGAATCTTTAGGGGACACAAACATTCAGACCATGGTAAAAGGAATTCAATTTCTTAAGAAGTTGGGTGTGTTATAGTAGGTAAAATCTGGTTTCTAGTTTATGAGTTCAGCAGGTATTTGACCAAAGCTTCCTTAATGTAGTGGCAGACACGATGGCATAGATCTGATTTTCCATCTGGACATCCATATCCCAAGCAGTCACATGTCTGTAACAGGTCCTAATTCCAATTTCCTCTGACTTTCTAGTGGGATAGTAAAAACCTTCAGTGTTTAGATCAGGTCAACTCGGGCTATAGGTCAGATACTCAGTGACAGTGAAGATGTGCTCTAAGCCTGAGACAATGGATATCCATCTCTGACAGCAGCCTCCAAATGTAATCCAGATTAGCCACAGCCACCTCAAACCCCTTTGTCAATAAATAATCTGCAGTCCAGCAGCTAAATGATAATTGCTAGCTTTGTTGTCATTACTCGAAAATAATACAAAGGGGGATTTCCTTCATCAGGAGCAGCAATGTTTTTAAGTATCTTTTCCCGTTTCTCTTTTCACTCATGACATTGCTATATAACATCTATGCCCCCTCGCAATTCCCTCTTGCACCATCTGAGTTTTTTCTAGAAGGCTTTCCTACAGCCTCATTAACACAAACTCTCCCATCTTTCTCCCATTCCCCTCGCAGCTTGTCACTGTGCAGGTCACTTTAGCCTCCCTAGATTCCTTCCTGACACTCTCCCCCTTGGCCTAGATTCTGCCCTAGGGGCAATAGAATGGGAATAGATGTGGCAAGAAAACGTCCTTCCTTCTCAGGAAAGAGGGGACAGGAGGGAAGGGAGGAGACAGCAAACACTCATTATTTGGTATCTCTTGTTCTATTACTGTCATACTTAATTTTTAATTATTTGGTCATAAAATTAAAACACAAAATGATGCCTTTTCTTTGACAATATGCCTGCACACCTTGTCTAAAGGAAGCTCAGAACTTAAGTTAGAGCTGTATTGGTCTTTGGCCTATTTATTCCATACGTATATGTTCATTTATTTCAAGGCCATTGATTTTGATGCCTTTTAAGGGCTTCTTTGTAAATGCATTTTCAAATAACAGCTTTATCAAGGTATAATTCACCTACTATAAAATTCACCCTTTTAAAATGTACAATTCAGGGCCGAGCCTGTGGCGCACTCGGGAGAGTGCAGCGCTGGGAGGGCAGTGGCGCTCCCGCCGCGGGTTCGGATCCTATA